AAAAAAAAATTATGTGAGGTAAATTTTACCAAATTATAATAGAATACTGTAGTAGGTAGGAATGCTCTTCCTGTTCAATTACTTTTATTTTGCAAGTTAAATGTACCTCAACGCTAAAACACATGACTCGTGAAATGTATCTAGTCTTCTAGTCTTCCGATATATTTCTAACAGCTGTCTTGTACATTTATTTTTCTTCTCGAAGCTCTTCTATTTTCATTACCCTTTTCTTATTTTTACAAAATTCTAAATACATTTATGATTTATTGATTTAAATAAAATGAATTTAGTTTTTTTTATATAAGGTTTCGAGTTTGAATTTTATAAATAAAAAAATTAATACTGAAAATTTTTTTTTCATAAAATCTTACGCAACTCAACTCTAAATTAATTAAAATTTAATATAACTTATAAATACAAAAAGTTAAATACACAAAAAATAAAAAAATTAAACTGTAAGTACAAGTCCAAGCTCATCGAGCTCAAACACCCTAAAGTAGGTAACTAAGCGGTCAAGGTCTGATTCAAGCAACTCGATGGCCAAAGTCGAAACCCTTTGGTTTAAGTACCATTTTGGTCCCTCAACTTTTCACTTTGACACCAAAATTGTCCCTCAACTTTAAAAAGTATCAAAATTATCCTTAAATTTTCATTTTTAGTACCAAAATAGTCCTTCCGTCAGTTAAATGACAGGTGACACGTTAAAATGACAGCAAATCAATTCTTCTTTTTTTCTTAATCAATGACGTGGAAAAAAAAAGTATAGTTGGCCTTTTCTTTATGAGTTGGCATTTTTATTTAATTTAAAAGTAATAATTCTTTTTTTTTTTCACCCAAGTCAGATTTCTTCTTCCTCTTCTTCCTTTCTCCTTCTTCTTCCTTTCTTAAACCCAGATTTGGGTTTTTCTCAAACCCAGGAAAAAAAAATAATGTGTTACTTTCGCTCATTCTTCTTCTTATTCTCTCTCTTTCTTCTCCCTTCTTCTTCCTTTCTCAAACTCAAATT